AGGAAACGCCACCGATTCGACTCCTATTCCTAAATGTGCTAGCGTTGGAAAGAGCACAACCGCCAAAATACATGAAAATCGGATGTCGATGAAAATACTATTAATTATCAGCAGTTTTCCTGACAGCAACGTGAACCACTATATAATATTAGGAAACGCCACCGATTCGACTCCTATTCCTAAATGTGCTAGCGTTGGAAAGAGCACAACTGCCAAAATACATGAAAATTGGATGTTGATGAAAATACTATTAATTATCAGCAGTTTTCCTGACAGCAACCTGACCATTATATAGTATTAGGGAACGCCACCGATTCGACTCCTATTCCTAAATGTGCTAGCGTTGGAAAGAGCACAACTGCCAAAATACATGAAAATCGGATGTCGATGAAAATATTATTAATTATCAGCAGTTTTCCTGACAGCAACCTGAACCACTATATAATATTAGGAAACGCCACCGATTCGACTCTTATTCCTAAATGTGCTAGCGTTGGAAAGTGCACAACTGCCAAAATGCATGAAAATTGGATGTTGATGAAAATACTCTTAATTATCAGCAGTTTTGCTGACATGAACCACTATATAATATTAGGATACGCCACTGATTCGACTCCTATTCCCGAATGTGCTAGCGTTGGAAAGTGCACAACTGTCAAAATACATGAAAATTGGATGTTGATGAAAATACTATTAATTATCAGCAGTTTTCCTGACAGCAACCTGACCATTATATAGTATTAGGGAACGCCACCGATTCGACTCCTATTCCTAAATGTGCTAGCGTTGGAAAGAGCACAACTGCCAAAATACATGAAAATCGGATGTCGATGAATACACTATTAATTATCAGCAGTTTTAGTGACAGCAACCTGAACCACTATATAATAATAGGAAACGCCACTGATTCGACTCCTATTCCCGAATGTGCTAGCGTTGGAAAGTGCAGAGCTGCCCAAATACAAAAAATTGGGTGTTGATGAGAAATTAATGCTGGCTATTGCTATTCTTTCGTCAACGTTGATAACTGTGGTTTACACAAATACGCGATAGTAATGACGACTACTTGCAATCTACTATTTGGTGTTCAGCTTTTCCTTTGTCTACCAGTTGCTCGATTCACTCCAGAAGTCAACCAAAAAAGTTCGCCGAGTGCGCGCAGCTGGGCATTCTCTGGCACTGTTTTAGAGGCCAGCTGCAGTGCACTGTACCACAGCTTCATAAGGCTCAACGATCTGTGCTTCGAATATCATTCTAAGACCATAGAGGTATTTTCTTCCGAGATCACCTAGGATATAAACGTAGGCGCGGGATAGCCGCAGATGCACTGCGGCTATCCCACTCATCCTTTGTCGAAGTACTATCGTTTGCACGCCCCTCTTTTTTTGGGATTTAACCCACTCTTCTGCTTTTGCAGTATGATATATCACTCTGACACTAGCGTACTTTAGGAATAGTGGCGTGGGGTTGTGTTAGCTTTCAGTCACTAAGCTCTATAATATGTCTCTCCATGTGATGATACTGAAGGATAATAAAGGCAATCGTAGGACTTTCCAGAAATTGCACCGCTTTGTGCTATTATTTACCACTCTCACTTTTGATATGTTTTGAGTGCCAATTAGTTCAATAACAAATGTTGCTTCACATTTTGATTAGATTTTGTTTTTCTATTTTGTTTTTTCTGGATCTCTCCTCCACATAATAGCTCGAACCAGGTACTCAATCGTTAAAATCATGACTATCTTTTCGCTACAATTTCAACTCTGACGCTCTGGGCCTAATGCCCTGTCCGTTTTAAGGTAGATTTACTTTCTTTCTCTACGACATTTATCACCACTCTTACCCTAATTTCAATTGAATGAAGTCTAATGTCATTTTATTTTTTTTCTATTACGATTTTTGAGCCAACAATCAAATGAAAGCTCAACAGATTTGAAGTCAAGTTTCTCAATCTCTTTTTGATGCAGCTTCAATCTTGAAGTGACTTCCATTTCAATATTACAGTTTTTGGCTCGACACCATATCTCGAGGCATATTAGTTTCTCACCTACACGTTTCTCATCCGCAGCGATAGCTTATTCGTAAGGTACGATACTGTTCTTGAGTGCATCGTTTAAGCATTTGACGTAATAATTTTACATTTGCTCTTACCATGGAAATTTTTACTATCCGTCGCATTAAAAAGCTAGCTAGCCTTTTTCGTAAACAGTACCAGGTAATTAGATGAGGCATAGCACGGAAGGGAACAGTGCTTCAAAGCGAAGCCGAAACCGGCAGTTTAAGCGTTATTCCTTGAGAATGTTCTGTGCATCAGACAACCGAAAGGTTTCAAAGCATAATGTTGCATAATCATAAGCCGTTGTTTCTTCAGTGAATGTTCCAACCTTTAGCCAGAAACGACACACCTACATTAGTGAGATTCAAAATGCAAATCGAATTGAGTATGAAACGAGAATAGAAATGGCTTAGTGTTACTTAAGGAAGCAAAACTTAGGAATTATCCATGAAGGATATTGCCCACTATATCCTTATTTTTGAGAAGTGGTTAGAAGAGGAATTCAAAATTACATAGACTGTGCTCAATAAGTCGCTTTCGCTCGCTAGGAGGGGAGCTGGCCGGGAAATATGCTGTTTTGTGAAATTTAGCATAGTACATAAAGCTAGAAAAATTGACTATCCAGGAACAAGTTACAAGTTTCAGTGAAATCGCTAAAATATGATGAAGCGCTATTATCTGCCCTTTGGTTTCTTTAGTTGAGATTTCACTCAATGTTGCGTGTATAGTTTTATCACCAACCAGTAATGAGGGAAACTGAGATCTACTTAGCGTTGGTAGGTCTTGCTATGTTTCGTTCAAGACGATCGGAAAGGTTGAACATTGTCATGCTACTCACAAATAATCTCAGGCGAGAAGAGGCAGGTAGGGGGGAGGGGTGGGACAGGGGGAGAGGGGTGGGAGGAGTAACTGAATGGATATTCTATCCGTCGTATTCAGCAGCGATTTGACAATATTCGGTGCTAGAAAGCATTCTGAAATTTCCATTTATTGAGGTAAGAGGAAGAGATAACAAAATTGTCCTGCTACCTTCAATGTTGTTGCAAAATGAAGAAAACCTAGGAAATATAAACGAACAAAAGACGAAAGGAGAAGCTTCTAAATTAGGGGGCAAGATGGCTGATAATCCTCTTACGCCCAACTTTCGATCCTAGATGAAACCAAACATAATGACTCTTCTTTGCAGAGCATAGCGTGTTCGTGTAAGGATTCGGTGTGAAATCGTAAGAAGACTGAAATAAGAGCAACGGCAGTGAAAAGAGGAAAGAAAAACGGGGTATCAGAAAAAAACAAATGGGGAGCAGCTGTTCAACAAGGGCAAGATCGCAATGGCGACGAGATGAAGAAGACCAACAGCAAAGACGCCTTTCTCGTGAAAGTGAAGCAGTCGAAATACGAAGACGTAGGGGTGTAGAACAACGAAGAGCTCACTCGGCAAGAGCTGCGGTGGGAGCTACTGCGCGAAGGGATCAGGAAGGAGAAGAACAGCAAGGAACCCTTCGGGAAAGTGCTGCTGAGAGGGCAAGAATGCAAAGAGAGCAAGAAAGCGAAGAGCAGCGGGGAGCACGTCTG